GTGTGATAACATTCGAACTTGTGTCTTCCGTAAAACTACACGACGTGGTTCATCAAAATTTATGGAGAAGCAAATAAATTTCACCGGAATATTGAGCAATAAAGCTGAAGAAAATCCTGGTTTGTGGAATTTGTAATCCTATTTTTATACTTTTTGGACCAGTATTTATGCAGCATTTCCTCATAAAAATTTTGAATGGGGCCTCTTGCGTCCTGCAGATTTCTACAACTGGAACAGAGTCAAGCTACGGTACTGCGATGGAGCATCGTTTGCTGGGGAGGGCCAGAATGAGGTTAGCAAGACTACTTTTTAACCCTTTGAAGCATTTTCCTAAACTGTCACTCATGACACGAATAGCCTAGTCAGTGAAATTAGTGGTCAAGTTTGATTTACTTTATGCTTATTTTAGATTCTTCTAGTCTTACAGTTATTTTTCTTGTTTTTCCGTCTTGCTCTTCAATGATTAATAACTGTTAGGGAAGTTAGTTGATGTGATTATTGTAACCCAACTCTAAGTGGGCAAGTGATGATATTCTTTTTGGGGGGTTTAAAATTAACATGTTTGGTTCTTTAAGATTAGACTCTGTTTCAGAACAGATTGCTTTTCTTCTCTAGCATATATTCTATAGCACTTTTTTCTGTCATAATCTGGTGAAGCATTCATGGTATTCAGTGATTTTATTTTCAGGCTAACCGACTTTATTTTAGAGGACAAAGGATCTGGTCAGCTGCTATGGAAGAATTAATGGCCAGGGGAATGCAGAATGCTGAGCAGGTTTTACACCTAGCATGTTCTTTTAGTTTTCAATTTGGTTTTGGGTATCTAATATATGATTGTGTTTCAGGCTCTTCTCTCAGGATGCTCAGCTGGGGGTCTAGCATCCATTCTTCACTGTGATGAATTTAAGGATTTGTTTCCGAAAACCACCAAAGTGAAATGTCTAAGCGATGCGGGAATGTTCCTTGATGCGTAATGAACTATGCTCTGTTCCCTTCTTTGTGGTTATAGTAGGCTCTCTTCAATTCAAAAATATGGTATTGATAAATGGTTTCCATTAATTATGCAGAACTAATGTGGCTGGTGGCCATACATTAAGGGATATGTATGGGAGTGTGGTTACCTTACAGGTACTGCTTATGCTCCTCTTTTAAGTTTCTGAGTCGGTGAAGACTCAATTAACAACTAGTTTTGGGTCTTAACCTTAGAAGGCCAAGTAAGCGTCATTTGTAGTCACTTCAGTGCTTTTGATCTGAGGTTCCTGAGCTATATATTAACCTTTTGTGGCATTAATCTTTTCAACATAGATCTTTTGTGTTCGGGAAAGAAATGCTAGTGCTGTTATGAGTAATCAACACTCATTGTCATGAAATCTTTTCTGATTGCTTTCTGCTCAATTAAATTTTAGGGTGTGCAAAAGAATCTGCCAAACACTTGTACCAGCCAAATGGATCCAACTTCGGTAAACATCTCTGCTTAACTAGATTAGTTTAAGAGAGAAGATCTAACTCATTCAAAGGATCGTAACTCTATCTTTCATTTACAGTGCTTCTTCCCTCAAAACTTGGTTGCAAATATCAGGACTCCTATGTTTCTTCTCAATGCAGCCTATGATGCATGGCAGGTAACCTTCCTCCTTTTGCTGCTTTCTTTCTTTTTCTTCTTGTGTCTGCTAATTCTTGTCATTTTCTCTTTGTCTTTTTTCCTTTAATGAGAATCCATATTTCCACCCAGAAACATATCAGGCAAGATTTCATAATGCTAAAGGTCAAGACCTCCTTTAAACAGCTGTCAACAGAGTGAAACTTCCGGATTGTTTGAATAGGGCATTGTTGGGTCCTGTCCTGCATTGGCTTTTCTAAGACGCCAACTCTCTGAACCTAAACAACCCTATCCTTTCTATGTAAAAAAAAAAAACAAAACAAATCCTATCCCTCTTCTTCCCCCTTTGCCCTCAAGCCAAAGCCCAAAAGTAGACAGTCATTCTTCTGGGTGGAGTTGCCAGTGGATTCACCAATAGCTTTACCAAGATGACCTCTTGATTGGCAAGTAACTTGGATTAATATTGTAATTTCTGTTTTCAGGTCCATGAGAGTTTAATTCCATCATCTGCTGATCCTCATGGCTCCTGGCGTGAGTGCAAAATGGATCATTCCCATTGTAACTCAACACAAATGCAGTTTCTGCAAGGTGATTTCCAATTTTGTTTTCTGCTATGTTTTGGCTTAATTTTATTAACTGGAAAATACAGATGAATTGCCTGTAACTGCTATTTTCTTCTTTCTCACATTGAGCAGACTTCCGGAATCAAATGCTCAACGCCATAAATGTTTTCTCAAAGTCCAATCAAAATGGTTTATTCATAAATTCTTGTTTTGCTCACTGCCAGTCAGAGAAGCAGGATACATGGTATGAGAATGATTCTCCCCGTATTGGAAACAAGGTATGTCCCTGCTGTATTAAGTTGTTAAGTTCCTGCAGCAGCTGCTGATAAATGATAACAGTGTCTATCTTCTGAATTTTCTGGAGAACTATTCCTCATTTAGCACTTTGTGATTTAAGGTGGAAATAACATAAAACTCCATAGTCCCTTAATTCCAAACTTTATGTTGAAATGTTTGCTAAGGCTTAAACACAAAGTAGCAAATAGATTTCTCTGTCTGCCTGAATGGGTCAGAGGTTATATGAGAATATCTTTTGCATTAGTTTGAATTTCGTTATCATTATGCAGGCAGTTGCAGTGTCTGTTGGAGACTGGTTCTTTGATCGAACAGCTGTTAAAGCTATTGACTGTGCATACCCCTGTGATAGTACTTGTCACGATCTTGTCTTCAAGTGAGTGAGAACTTCTCGTTGACCTGTTGGGGCCTGTATGGTTTCCATTTTATTCTTTTCCCCAATTGCCATTTGTGGAAACTGTAACATTCATTTGTTGTGATAATAAAGTGATAGGCTATGGCTTTTTAGGGAATGCAAATCAGAATGATTAGCAACATAATCTTTTCTCTTTGTTTTTTTTAGAAATTTTATTTATAAGCAATATGATCTCTCCATAGACCTTTGATATCTCTGAACTGTAGCGGAGAAGAAAAATATATTAATATGTTTGATATCTTTTTGTTTGAGATTTATGAAGGCCACTCTCATTGAACCTTAACTGTTTGCATTACTGCCAACCGTTACCTTTTTCACACTATTCTGTTTCATACTTTTAAATTTTCACTAGGACCTCAAACTATGCCCAGAATTCCCAAAAAAGTTTACCAAAAGTGGGACATCAAAGCTAATCCTAGTAATTGTTGTTCTCTTATTGTGGCATTTTTTAGTCAGAATCATAAATTTGTTAAGATAAAAACATTTGCAACTAAATTAAGGTGGCAGGGATACAGAATATAATTTTTATTTCCACATTGATGTTAGTTATTCTATTTGAATTTCTATATGCAGATGAGTGAAAATGTTACAAAATGAACCTTGTTAATCCATTGTCACTTCTATATCTCTAGTATATATTTTTATACTTCCTTATGAATAATCTAGGATGCAGTTAGCGATGAGGCCTTGGTCTAATGGCAAAAGGATCCAATGATGTCCTAAGAGGTCTTAGTTCAAATCCTCCCACCCCCATGTGTTTGAGTGGATTGTAATTTATATTGTGTCTTTCTAGTTTCTTGGCTTTCAGTATACCTAATGCACCCTTTCTGGATTTCCTCTCTCCACGTCTACGGTGGGACTGAAATTAATATCTTCCTCTGCAGTGACGTTACATCGACCATAACGATCTCTCAGTCCACAAGGTTGACATTTACTCTCCTAAATCTGCTTAGTGCCCTCTTGATCACCTTAACATGTTCCAAATGCACCATGGAGTTTCAGTTTGGCCAGTGACTAATAACTATAACTTTAAAGTCCACATCCTAGCAGATATGATGGATCTTTAGATTGCTACCATTTCAAATCATTCATTCATAGCGCTTCTTTAATAGCCACTGCATTTCTTTTCTAGTATTCTGTGGTTGCGATAGTTTATGCCTGGGAATGGTTAACCTGTACCCAATCATATGTGTATTAGTCATTTCAAGAAAGTGAAGAAAATGAACACTGAGAAGGATGTTTCTTGGCTTCTGCAACTAAAGGGTTGATCTCTTTGTATGCTATATTTTGGTGTATCATGAAATTTTGTGTTCGCGTCTATTCTAGATTGTCATTTCAAGTGCTTTCTCACTTTATGTTGAATTGTAGGATGTGCAAGTGTGTAAAACAAGTAGTGGCAGGATGTTTAAACTACTTACCTGATTAGCTTACTATTGTATGAGATTGCCTAAACAGGTTAGGCTTGGTATGGGGCTGTCATCACTGAGATCTCGTGGAAATTTCTTAGGGATTGATTTTGTCTGAATAGAGAGAGCATCCCTGATTTTCTAAACCGATATTACTGGTGGAGGTAACAGGCTGCTACATTCTGATATTTGAGCTGTTAGATTTTAGGGTTCATACTCTCTCCTTACCTTGCATGGTGGTACTTTTCCAGTGAGTTTGATTGTCAACTCTGTTTTGACATACAACCTCTGATCAGATTTCATGATTATTTTTAACTGTGGAAGAAGAGTTCTTAACATTTGCAGGAGACTATGTAGTTGAAATTATTTTCAGCAGTATTTTAGTCCTGTCCACTGTATAGCGAGTGCACTTAGTTCTTTGTACTTGAGGTGCTGCCTTCATTATTGAAAGCCTGATTATTTTTCTTTCTCCTAATAATGAACACATGACCAAAGCCTTGCTTTATTGCTCTGTGGTATATAAACAATTAAGGAAATCATCATTTTGGCGATTTGTAAATTCCCCTTACATTGGAACCAATCCCAGGTTTCCCCACGCTTATGTGTTTACTCTTTGTGACGGGCAATTCTGATTCCTTTCGTTCGTTAGAACAGAGGGCAAGAAGAACAAACAATTCTTCCTTGTAAACAAAGTTTGAAATGCAATTTTTAGGAACACACTGTGAAACAAATCTCTATCCAAATGCTTTACCTGTGACTACCCAAATCAAGACTGACGACGAACAAGAAAAACTTATCAGCAAAGAACTGGAAATATGCTTAGCCTCGGAAATAATAAGCCTATAATTTGGCTCCATATTCCACCCGTGTTATATTTACAAGCGGAAAGCTGTACATGAGTAATCAAAAAACGTGTCTGGAAGCTCTTAAATGCCAACAGCAAAGGATTAGAAGGTCGAAGAAACCTCTGGAAAAAAGCTTCTTTGCCAGGAAGCAAGAAGAAGAAAAGTATCAAATCCATCCCACCAAAGGATTTCGAAGGAGAAAAAAAGAAACAGAAAAACTGGAAAACTAAAAACAGTAGATGATAGTTGAGAGTAGCTTGTCAGCTGCAATGCCTAGATGTTGATGCAAGTGCCACAGCTTGCGCCCACACCTTGAGCCGAGCCTTGACCTCTCTTGGGTCATCACCTAAAATTACAGAGTAAAGATTCCATCAGATGCACTGAAAATGCTTAGCCTTTTCATTAAGACAAATCACCAAGAATCAGCAATTTCTAGTTCCCTGTTAGGCAAACAAAACAAGAGTCCAAAATAGAGGTAATTAAGAGGGTGGCAATGTTTTGACTAACCAGGGCTAGAGATATGCCAGTTGGCGATGGGAGAATTGCCACCGCTACTAGTATCAAGAGTGGAACCTGACAGGGAAACACGACTGGGCATCTCCAACATCCGCTCATGTTCCAACTCGAACCCCAAATCCCGACACGCCTTCACTTCCTCCAAGTCCATACACAACGATCTCCTTCCTCCTTTTGGCCTGGTAATCACCACCAAACCCGCACTACCCCCCTCACTCTCCCCACTAAAACTTCCACTGTAATTGCTGTAACCACCCAACATAAAATCCCCATCTTTCTTTTTGCTGCTACATTTACTCTCCTTATCTCCCCATCTTTCCCTTATAATCCTCCTCTTCCTCAAATTCTTGCTCCCCTTTGGCCTTCCAAAACTACCCCTTTGAGCTTCATTTTCACTTGCATAATCTTTGACCGCTCCCATCAACTGCTGTGACAACACGCCAGTTCTATTCCTCCGACGAGGAGGCGTGGCGGGAAGAGAGTAACAACCAGGTTCTTTGTCAGAGTCGGATGACAGTTCGAGCAGTTCTTTGCCTTCTTTTTCATCAGAGAACTCTTCATCAACATCCGCATCAAAGCTCTCAATTGACAATCTCGACACGTACATCCCCATATGATCATCATCATCATCATCATCATCATCCTCGTTGGTGTACATGGAACTAGTGCACATGGAAAGCCTGGACAAGTTATGTGGATGAGCCTGTTGGTCATGATCATGATCAAACCCAACATCAATATCATCATACTCATCTTCATGCATAGAAGAAAGAACCGTCATACTTTCATCTGATGCCATCCTTTTCTTTTTCGTTCCTTTTCTTCCTTCCTGTGATTTTGCAACTTAAAGAAACGAGAAAGAAACCAACAGAGTGAAGAAGGTAAAGTGTTTTTCTGTATATCAAAGCGATAATTGATTATAGAGAGAGAGAGAGAGAGAGAGAGAGAGAGAATACAGAAAGAGCGGCTGCACTTGTTAACAAGCTGTGGCGTTTGGGCTTTTGTGAATCATTCGTTTCCATTTCATGATAAGGTAAAAGGTAAACCCAAATTAATCCTCCAACGACCAGATTTATAGCAAATTTTCATGCCTTTAAATTCCAGATATGCCCATTTCAGTCCACACTCTCTCCCTCACTTGAGTAACATCCTTCCAGCTACCCCGGTGGTAGTTGAAAATTAAAAAGAGGGTGGGATGGTAATCTTAATATGAAATCAGTTGAGTAAGAAGTTTCGGATCGGGCCTCCTTTTTGTTAATTAATAATGATTAAGAAATCCACACGGCAACATTGAGACAAATGACGTAGAGAATCAGCTCAAGAGGGGAGTGTCCCACACCACTCAGTTCAGGACACGTACCTTCAGACATCTTGCTTTGCTGCCATCACAGCACTCCTTTGATATCCGCTGCTGGGTCGCGACTCACGACTCTCTAGGTGTCAACAAGGAAACAAAGATTGAGACCTGCCCGCACGATGAACCAAAACCTAGGCCATTTACGAATATCACGATACTATATTGTCTTTATTTCGATCTATGCTCCAATCCAACCTTTTTTCTTTCTCTTTACCCTTTTTAAATTAGCAATAACATCATTGGAAAATGACTCCGAAAACTTCACTGCCCAGGGTGCAAAATTTTATTCACTCTGTAGCTCACTGATTCATGTATCAGTGAAACACTTGAAAATGAAGTATCGAAACTGTACTAAACCCTAAATATTGTCTCCATTAATAGCTCTGTTGCTAGTACTGTACACATGGTCCCTCTCCTTAAAATAAGAAATCGACATGCATTCCTTAATAGGGTCAAGTTCCGTCTCCTTTTCTTCGGTTGGACAAATTGTTCACGTTTCTAATGTTTCATCTCTACGCCATTCGACGGTACACAGTACATTTTGACTATGTAAGGTGAGGATCCAATGTGGCAAATGCCCCTCCGCTCCAACCATAACCATAGTCATAAATTGCTTAAAATTATAATAATTTCGAGTTATAAACAAGTCAAAGTAAACTTCTACAGATTACATGCTTTTACTTGGTTAATTAATTTAATCTTGAACGGACTTTGACACTTGATTAACCGTGTGTTTTCCACGTATGTTATTTTTCTATATGGTTAGCATTTAAATAAATGGTAGTATCCACATTATAGTTTTACTGCCATATAGTTTGGTAGTAAGCTGATGCAGACATTTTTATATCCAAGTAAAAACAAAAAAAAAATAAATAAGGAAATTGAATTAATCCAAACATTATCCACATTGTATAACTTTATGGATCACTAGTTTACTACAACGAAAACTCCAAAATTGTCCTCCAAAAATCCAAAGATTTCGTGGCTAACAAGGCGTTGGTATCGATGAACAAACCAAGGATGTTTTGGGTAATGGATAAGCTAATTTTGGGGTGACCTGGGGAGTGGGTGGTTTCGGCAGTATCAGGCCCACGAGACTGTGTTTAATTTGAAGATGATCGAAGCTGATGTATGGAACCGCGTTTAAGGGGACAGCTGTCCGCGTTTTTTGGTCCTTATTTCCTCATCCAAAGCTTCAAAACGACAAATCCCCCAATGGTGGATTTTCCGAAACAAAACCGTCGTGGCCCAACTATGGGGTCCACCAATGACCATCCCCAGAACAGGCCCATCCCTTGCCACGCGGTCTCCCTATCATGCACCCAACACATCACTTACTGCACCAGCACGAGCTGTTACCTTGTCCTTTATCTTCTTCTTTTTTGTTCTTTTTTAATTTTTTTCCGTTTCCATTCAACATATTTAATTACTTCTTTTAGCCAACCCTTTTTATCTTCAAAAATTTTGAATATTGATAATAAATTTATTTAATTCCGTTGAACGGAGCTTAATGCGTTTAGTTAACACAGCCGCTCACCGACCCTTGATCCTTTGACTAGTCGCTTTTTTTGTTTTTTTTTGTCAAAATTTCTAGCCATCTTTGTTGAAGGCAGTCGTAAAAGGACGGCTGATGTGGTGGGACAGTGACTGTGATGCTTACACGTGTTAAATAAGAGTAATTAGAAAAAGAATTTTATTTTGGCCATATAATCGCAAAAGACTGACGTGGATGATCAGATGATTGAGAGACGTGAGGTGATTAGCAGTCCTTGGATTTGTGTGGTTTGGATCAAGCCTTGGAGGGGTGGATCCCATTTGTCGTATTTGCCCTATGTTGGGCTCCATTATAAATGAAATGATAGCTCACTGCTACAATTGCTGATGTATCGTTTTATTATGCTTGGGTTTTGTTGTGGAGACATTTATTAAGATTAATTATCAAAATATCTTTTAATTAATACAATATTTTTGTTAAAATTAGTAATTAAAAGATATTTTTATAAATAAATTTAAACTTAAAAAAATTATATTCGATTAAAATTATAAATGAAAAGTTATTCGCTTTTTAAGGTATGATGTGAAAGAATAAAACTTACTCCTTTTTTTTTATCCTATTTCACATCCAATCTAATGAAAGAATTTGATGATGGCATTTTGATTCATTTTACAAAAAGAAAAGGAGAAAAGAGAATCTATGGAAGATAAGTTAGAGGTTGGGAGATGTCGCAAGCCTTTGAGATACTATTAGCTTAAGAATCTCAAATATTCACCAAACAATTCTCTTCATTTTTTGGAAGGAAAGAGGGGAAGGCATTGGAAATGATTCATTGAACCATGCATTTTATAACAAAATGTGTTACATAAATGTCAAATCGTTCCTAAGATTTGCTTACTCTAACACTCTACTTAACTCCCCTGCTAGCTGCTAGAGCAGGGCCAAGAACGATTTCTTCTTTACAAAAGGGTCAAAAAAGAGAGAAATTTTGTCTATATTTAATGTGAAATGACTTGATATAATGTTGGGATAGGTAGGCATTTTCTTCCATGGTTTTATTCTGTCTTTCTTTATTCTTTTCTTTGTAGGGAAAATGTTACGTGGATCACGTTCCAGACATTTGAAGAAGAAAAAAATTATTTTCCTTCCTTGGGTTGGTTTTCGTTTTGCACAAATTAAAGTTTTTGTAGCCAACAAATGGCCGACACATGAACTTGGCAAACACAATGAATTGCAAAACAAGTTTGGATATCTACATGTGGGCGAAAAAGAGAATAAGCCTGTTCTCAGCCACTGCTGCAATTCTACACAAATTGCCGACAATGGAGTCAGTGCCATGATGGAAAGTGATGGGCAGTGGGCTCCAAAGCCCCGGGGAGATAAAACATTGTTTGGTCAGGGAGAAAGTCCATTGCCAAGAATATCTTCCCATCTATTAATATTTAATGTTAAAACTTGACCTGGATTTTCTTTGGGCCCAAAGGGGGGTAAAAGTTGAAGTTTCAGAAAGGTAAGTCGGTGGTGGAATCTGGAATTTGGACTCTGAATTTTTCAGCCTACAACAGGATTGAATGCAAGTAATTTTCTCAAGAGTTGATGAAAATAACAGCTTTTTGTCTCTAGTAACTGTAAATGGGCCTGGTGTCCCCTTGATGGGAAGTATAATTCCCAATGAGAGACCAAGTCTTGATGCAAACATAAAATATTACACTCGGCCAATGGAATCAATTGCTTAGTGTGGTTTATGAGAAGCAAATGCTGCTCCTCTGCAATTTACAAAAGAGTTGAAAATACAGAAAACATGAGGGAGAGGTTGAAGAAGAGTGGGGCAAAAAGTCATGGACTGTGTTTACAAAGCAGACATCATCACGCGTTAAAGGGGCCCTGAAAAGGAAAAATCAGTTAAATTAATGATTGATGGCCAATGGGGCTAGGCAATAGAATTCTAACCTAAAGTTGGAAGAAGATCAATAGATGAGCAACCTCTTTCGTCTGGTCAAGGTTTGAAGGAAACTGCTTAGGCGATCCACCATTTAAAAGGAAACATTTTATATATCAGGTGGTTCCCTTGTTGGAGGGTTCTTTAGCAGTTTAATTTTCTTTTCTTTTTTTTTTTGTTTGTAATCTTTGAAACGAAAATGATGGCAATTGGTCCAACGGTTTCATTTTTTTTAGTTAAATTTGTTTCATTTCCTTGAATTATGGAGTTGAATTCGTAAGTTAGTTAGTGCTCTTCCTGCGTATTAAAAAGAAAAAGGGATCTTTTTCAAAGAAAAAAAAAAGTTATTAACACAAAGGAGGTGGGAAAAGGGAAGAGTAATTTCCAAAACTGAAACGACTTTTAAGTTTTGGTAACAAAACAACAATGAAGGGAAAGTTCATTAATTTTTTTGGTATAATATCTTAAATTTTTTTTGAATTATTTAAAAATTTTAAATAAATTATTATTTATTTATTACATTTAATCAAATTTTTTTATTTTTTATTTTAATTAAGTTTTTACGATAATTAATTAATTATTATTAATTAAAATTTCACTTGTCATTTAAAATAATATAGAATTGATGTGACATTTTAATTATATCACAGTGGATAATAACATGACATATTAATATTATATGATGTTATGATCATGTAATATGTTCACTTTTGACATCGACATCATATAATATAAAAAATGAAAAATTATATTTCGATTAATGATAATTAATTAATAATTAATTATAAAGATTTATTTGATGTAAAATAAAAATAAAAAGACTTTATAGAACATAATATAAGAATAAAGTCTCATTTTATTTTTGTAAATAGTTTAATAATTATTTAAAATATTATGTATATATTTCTATAAACATTTAGTATAGAATTTTTTATTTTTTTTATGAATATCTTAATTATTTTACAGTTCACTTGCATAGGCAAAGGTAAATCTGTTAAATGCAAATGTCAAAGTTTTTTCATTTCCCCTCTCTCATGAAGTACTAATTGGCAATATTTTGAGTGGAATGATCCATCAGATGGATCCTAGTCCTTGGCAGTCTGGACCTTCACCCATAATTGGCCCAGCTGTTGAAAGAAGCTCACCCAGTTAGAGAAAAATCTCTGACAAATTTGAGCTGCGGCCAGGGTTGATATGAGATGGAGCTGGCCCGATTTAAATGCAGCCCAGTCCAAAGCTTAATCAACAAAATGCTGCAGACAGTCTACCTCGTTACGAAAGGTTGCCAACTCGACATCCCTTACCAGTTTCCAATGGCATTTTTCATATTTTGTTCAATTGACCAAATTCAGTTCATGAATTTCTTTCCAACAAATTAAGTTTAGTTTAATTGTCAATAAAACTCTGCATTCTCAATATCATCATGTTAGCAACTGAGGAGAGATAATTTAATATTTGAGAAGTATGCACCTGTGCAACAGAAGATGAAGAAGATTTTAATATTAGGAAAAGGGCAAGTGCCTAATTATGAGTTAAACAAGGTAAATATGATGGTTTTGTTGAATCTTTTACCTCCTTTCCCCCCCTACTTTCCATGTCCTAAAGGTTAACCCAATAATTTGTACATTGTAGTCAACGTTATTAGGTCAGGTACATTTGGAAACTACTCATTTTTTCTCATCTGCTATCATTTTCCATCTTTCGTCTCCCAAATTTTCATTGGGCATGGCATAGTTTGGTGGTGCTTCGTTTCCCAAAATTGTTCACATACAGCTAAGCTAACGGATCAAGAAAAATATAGAACATTTTTGCTGATCAATTAAAGTAAAACTATTTCATGCATTACAAGCAAGCATAGGTGTTGCCCGAGTTTTAGAGACTGATGACCACCGTAGTCTTGATTCATTGCAAGGGTTGAGCATTTCATAATTCATAGCTAGAGACTAGAGTATCATCCCAGTACTCTGCTGCACATATTTTTGGGTTTTAGGCTTTTGCAAAGTTGGGCTTGGCTTGACATTGAAACCTGACTGTTCTTTGTTCTACTCTAATGCATTTTTGCCCTGTTGCTCTTCAACAAAGATGGTACCAGTTGGCTGCAAATTGATCTAAATTCGGTTTAGTATAACTACTGGTATAAATTCTTCTCCAGTCTTCTTCTGCACTGCTGCAGATTTTTGAAGTACCAGAACTAGTTAAACTTTAAAATAACTAATTATTGATATATATATATATATATATATATATGAGTAACTCCCTAATTTTTTTCCGCGGAAGGAATATTAGTTCTGATAATATCTTTTCTGTTTTATGTTTGAAGCTGGATGTGCTGTTTTCATTGCTTGGGGACTAAGCCACAATTTGATTACATTAATTAATTAGTACTTTCCTAACTTTGAGAGTTGAGGAGTAGTGCTTATTTAATTGTTGACAACGATATCAAACCCCATATTAAATTCGACATGAAGGTTTGATTTTTGTCCTGTTACTAACTGGCAATAACATAATTTTCGAAACCTTTAACCTTTATATAGATGATTACTTTGTGTTTTCGTGAATATGGTCAAGCAACTTAGTGATTGCAATGCTTGAACTTGAATGCATGAAAACAAGTTCAAAGTTTCCAAGTGTCATCAGGCAAACAATGAAGTCTTTACGTAAATTTGTTTCAATCGGTCTGCTCTGCAATTAATTGCTTTAAAACAGGGCTGAAAATATTGTTTCCTGATAACAGAAGCCATTGGTGGGGTGGGGGAGGGGGGCATGGGTTTATGTTGTGCCTGTGAGGAAGATGCCCCCAGGACTCACTAGGAATTATTGCAGTGGGTCCGCCAACACAGCTTCGCTTTCATATGCCTCCAGTCCTCATGTAAATGTATGGAAAATGTAAGCGTTGAATTGTTAAACCAGCAGCACATTAGTTGGTTTTGCTAGCTGAGCTCATTATCTCAAACTGACATAGACATATTCCCCATTTCTTTCATCTCTGCTTGTCCAAAAACTACATTGGATTCCGAACCATTTAGTCTTATGCTCCAGAACGTAGGAGAAAAAAAACAAAGAAAAAGAACGCTGTAATTCTGACCATAATTGGCCTGTTCTTAAATCAGAAGCAGCTTTAACTGCAGCTAAACAAAGCGTAAATGCATAGTTTGTTTTACTGCTGCCATCAAAGATTGAAGCTTTGAACCATTTTACAACAGTAATGAACCAAATAAAAAGTTGGAATGTATCCCCTCTAAGATGTTGCCAAGTGGACGGTGGCGATCTATTTGCCATGTCAGCAAATGTATAAATATATTTTTAAAGCATTCACTGCGAGATTGACTTCTTTCCTTCCCTTGAGTTGGAAGTTTCTTGCTTTATAAAGTGTCTCTTAAGATAATGTAGGTGTCTTAAAAGGAGCTACAAGACAGCACCTGATATATGGCCCTTATTAGATTGAGAGTCACTTTCCCGTGTACGGACTAGAAAGTTAATAACTCTCAATTTGTTCTGTGGGTCTTTTTTTTTTTTCTTACCTGACGATGAAGTGGCACAACCCTTCATTTCTTTCTTAAAGTTTAGGGTCATGTTCTTATTGAGTTTTGGGTCTATATGTGTGAGCGTGGGTGTGAACGTGCGTGGGACAAAGAAAAGGAGAGGGCGAGTGGTGGGGATGGGTTTCTGTAACTCTTTTGAGTCTTGCAAATCAAGCAAACTGAAAAATGTAGTTCAGATGTTGAGATTGTTTAAGGCAAAAGGCAGCCCAAGTAATGGATTCATTTACTCTAAAATTAAAGAGGAGGGAGGAAGGAGAAAAGTAATAAAGCTGTTATAAAAGCGATAAGGATTTCTTATGTCCTTGCAAGACAGTGACAGACAACCAATTTAGGGTGTTGGAACCGGAAAAAAAAAAGGCGCTGATGAAACAAGTTTCATGTATTTTTCAATTACTATCTAAACCAGGAGATGGCACAGTCAAAAGGAAAGATTTGGATTGATTGCGGATAACTTATTAATATCTGTTTTTGTGTTTTGATTTGAAAAGTGTGTTGTTCTAAAAGCGGGTAACAAAAGAATGGTAAGACCCCCATGGATGAATAATAAATATTCTTTTCTTTTTCATCGATTGTTTTACAGGTAGAATCGCAACATTCCAATGCACAAATATGACCATATGCAACGAGGCATAGAAGAGTAAAAAGACACTAAAACAAGCCTTGATCTGCAGTTCTACCCCACACACACACCAAAAAAGCAAAAAAAAAAGATGGAAAAATAAAGAAGAAAGAAAAAGCTAACAACAAGATTGTTATGCTCACAAATAGTCCAAAAGCAGAGGTGATAAATTTTTGTATCAGACCTATATACACGAGAATGAAGAGAAAGGGGGGGAAAAAAGATAAAAGAAAGAAAGAAAAATCTGTGGTACACACCTGATATGAGAATGGCATTTGTTCAAGCCCCCTTCTTTTTTGCTTTCTTCTAAGAAGAGGGGTCCTCTGATAAATGCAAAAGCTAAATATGTCCATAGGTTGCCGTAAGTCTCTGGATTTCCTTCGCACACATATCGGAATTTTGTAATGGTTCTTGCTGCTCTTGGTTATGGGGCCACATACCGTTTGAACTATTAGTCAGGAAATGTGTTTCTGATTTTATCTCAATGTTGTATAAGGATTGTGGAGTTTGATTTTGCAAAGCAGCCGCCACTAATAACGGGTTATTGAGATATTCTGGCCACTTGATTTCTTCTGCTTGGCTTTCCATTAGAGGGATTGGAGCCTCTTTCTCTGAAGTGCTACAATCTGCCAACCCCCAAGAGAAACTATTCTCAAAGAAGGAACTGTTGCTTTGCAGCTCAGTGCTGCTGCTGCTGTTACTGTTATTGGCGGAGGCACCGGTTTCCCAATAGCGGGATCCATTAACAGTAAACGAGGGCATCGAAGGGCTATCAGAGGAAACGGAGACAGAAGGTTTGAATCCCATAGGAGCAGAGAGAAATGAACTTGTCAATGGTGGGAGAAGGGTGGACATCGCGCTTGAAGAAAATTCAGAATTGATATCGAAAGATTTGCTATTTTGCGTGAACCAGAGAGTAGGGTTTGAGGTAGAGGAGAGCCTGGCATTGGATGCATAGTTCAATTGTTGAATTGGAAGATGCCCCACTAAATCAGAAGGCTGGCTGTTGGTGGTTGTGCTTTCATGGTGAGTGGCTGCAAATCTATCCGGAAAGAAGGTCTTTGCTGGCTGTGGATGTCATCAAATTTTGTTGTTGCTATTGTTATTGCTGCCGTTCATTGTCTTGGAGCTGGAGAGCCTTCCATTTCCAATTGATAACCATGTGCAGTAACTGACGTTAGTCTTTGTTCATGTAAAGTTACTCCAGGTTTAAGATTGTCGGTGTTGAGGTTCAATTCACTAGATGCCCTGGAGGCCTTATCCCGGCTGTTTGTCTGTTGACTCTTGTCTTCTCCATTTTCAACCTCTGAGAGCGGTTTGTGTGTGACAGGGTCAATGCCTCTTTGCCTAAGCTTCTTCTTTAAGCAAGAGTTCCACAGATTTTTAATTTCATTGTCGGTTCTTCCTGGCAATTGTGCAGCGATTTGGGACCACCTGAGGAACCAACAGAAGGCAAAGAATGTTTACACAGAATTCTGTGTAAAATCCAAAAACAAGAAAAAGTCATGAGAAAGAAAGAATACCTGTTACCCAAAACTGCATGAAGTTCAATTATGAGGTTTTCTTCTTCCTGAGAGAATGTGCCTCTCTTTAAATCAGCCTCAAGTAATTAATCCACCTTAACCTGCAGCTCTTTCCACACCTCTGCAGACCTGCCAATTTGGTCATGTTAAGGAAATAATTTCATTAATACTCTTGTCATATTTTTTTATAAAGACCAGATGATTTAAAGAAGAAACTAACATGAAAAGGGAGTTAAAAGTTTCTGAAATTACCAGCTTGCTTAGGGACAGAGCTCCAGCAGCCATGGCCGTACTTTGTGATATGCCTCAAGAGCTTCTCATCTTCTTCAGGGGACCAAAGACCTTTCCTCAGTTTCTGCTTGTAACAGCAAGAGTGCCTCCCCATTTTGAGACAGACCAAATTACAATGAGGAAGAGACCTTTCCCAAAACAGCAACTTTGCTGAATACTAGGTGAAACTGTCAGCAAAGCAGGGGTGGTTCTGAACAGTGTCTTTGGAATGCTTTGGTAAAAAAAATTTAAGAGAGAGAGAAAGGAAAAGAGAGAGGTTTTGATAAAGGGAGGCTAGAAAATGAAGTAGCAGCTGAGAAAGGGAGTTGAATTAATATAAGAGGAGGCTCCCCAGAAAGAAAAGTCACATTCAACAAGGTGTTATAGTTTCTCTCTCACCACCCCCCCTCCCCCACCTTTCCTTTTATTTATTCTTTAAAATTTCCTCTTTATTTTGATTTTTTTTTTCCTTCCTTTTTTTTCTATTCCTTCTCCTCATATTGGAGAGGTGGTGGAGATGAGTTAATAGTCTGAGTTGCATGTGTCTAATCAAAGGTCTGAGAATTAATGTCTTTTGCAGAGATGGTGGGACATTTTTCCTGATATTATATGAGAAGAACAGAAGTTTTGATAATCACCCCATGCTTTTAACGTCTGTCAGTGAATCCAAACCTAATGGTAAATTATACTTAATGGGAGACCGACGGTTACTCTCTTTTACTCTTTAGCCAAAAGTAAAGAATTTCGGTCTGATAACTGGTTCTGGACTTTCAGTATTTGGTTTCATCCTTTTATGTGCTTGCTCACCTCCAGAAATCCCAATTCAAAAGCAGCCCCAACAACACAATCAAGATGGAAAATAACAGAAAGTTCTCCCCCTCTGCAGGAAAATATATACATACATATTATATAATATATTCCTTTGCTTAATGCACAACAACTTTGGTGTCTCAAAAGAAACAGGATCCACTCCCTTCTTTACTCTGTGAGCTTTTTGGGGCAATTCTTCCAAATCATGATCACTTTGAAAAGTTCCATCATTACGTGGAAAGAACAAATTATTTTGTTCATGTTCTGAAAATTAAGAATGTCTTTCCTGTTTCTGATGAATTTCACTCATTGTTATAAATTACCTTACTCCCTAAATTTTTTCCACTTTGGGGCTCTAAGACTTAATCCACATTTTTTCCCTTTTCCCCCTCTCATTAATTCAAGAAGGGCAATGCTTTCTTCGCACGGCAATGGCCAAAACCGAGAAACAGATTCAAACTGCTGTGTCTTCTGGTAATTACATACGTTGAAGGTGACTACATAGCTGTATTTATTCAAATTAGCCAACACATGCCACTAAAATATGTTGTTCTATATTTTTGGTAACATATACTGCAACAGCATTAATTTCTCTTAGCTACAGTGAGTTTCTACAGGCAAAGCTAACCCTTGAGGTTTTCCAGCAAAGAAAAGCTACCCACAGCCCAAACTTTGTTCCAATCCAAAACTAATTGAAATCTTTATCCGAATATTTGATTCAATGTGTTGATTCATATATCTCTTTATTTGAAAAACCCCATTGGACCAGAGCACTGCCTGAGCACCCCCACCATTTGTACAAATATCTGACCTTTCTGCATCACCCTTTTTTACTAGAACTATTCACATGACAAATTTTGCTGTATTCTCAAAGAGTGAGGTTCATATATATGATTTTCCAAGATTTGCAACGTCCAAGTTCCTTTGGTTCATACATTCATTGCGAAAAAGAATAGTGAGTTCTATTACTTTAAGCCGACTGATCATGAATCTGAAGAGGACGAGGATAGCTTTTCCTGGGCTAATAGTGGAGCTACAAAGCAGACGGTACACACAACTACCATAACTTTGGGGACCAAAGAAAAAACTGTCAATATCAAATTACTCATGAATCTAAATCCTGCAGTAAGGTTGGACTTTTCAAGATTCAAATAACTTTAACAATGATTGAAAGATAATGCCTGCCAGAAAAATATCATGAGGGGAATTCATCAGAAATGCTAGTTCTTTTGTAATTAATGCTGCATTAAGCTTGGTTTTGTGGCATCTTCCTTTCTGTTTAAAACCTGGCCATCCTGGATACACGAGAGAAGACTTGACCTTAAGTCTTTCATTAATTTTGAAATATGTTTCACCAGACACCTTTGCCAATTCAAAGCCCTGAAGAATGCAGCAGCGTGAATATAAAAAATGCAAACCCTGAAAAGAAGAAAGATATATAGCACAAGTCTGATAACGGTACTAAACTATATGAAGTCAGTTTCTGCAAGAAAACTTAATTTAAATGTCAATATGACAAAGTTGAACAATAAAATAAGTGAGGAAAAGGATTCGGTTTACAGATTAATTTTATATTAATCTTAATGATTAGAAATGAATAGCAGCATGATGGGCCAAATAATTCTTTGGAAAGCCGAATATATATTTAATTCATACAAGACTAAACTAGGAACACTATCTGTGATATGAATACAGATTACAGAACCAAATTCTTTGTGCATGCATTTCTTTTTTTTTTTTTTTCTTTTTCTCTGGCTCTGGACCACCTTTGCTGAAATTTGATTAGTCAATTCGAATATAAACTCTCTAATCCCTGCTGTTTCCACCTTTTCCTGCGGCCTTTTCTTTAGCCAGCCACAGACAAAAGGAAATTAAATTTCTAAAAGATGATCAAGAACAGATAGATTAAAATAGAAATCCCAGAGACCCCCCTTTGAGTTTTTCTTTTTCTGCAGATTTTTAAATGATTTAACAAGCTTATGACCTGAAAGATAACAAGAAATTCATCAAATTATTCCAAATCATTAGCTGTACTGGGCATGGCCCGCATTGAAATGTGAAACCCATGGGAATCTTGATAAAAAGATTAGAAAGTATCGATCATAGGCGGCAAACACTGTACTTTAACATCAATTATACATAGGACCAGTTTATATTCAATCGAATTGACAAATTTTAAAATAAAATGAAAATCCTTTTTTCTTTTTATCTCCTTTATACATTCGAGTTGTAATTTGTTCCCAAGAAATAAAAATAAAAAGTGCCAAAACGTTGACGTGTAATATAGTCAATTCATACATTTCTTCAACACTAATAATTGCCTCAAGCTACTGTCTGTCAAAGTATTCAATGATCTTTACGTTAAAATTATCTCAGGTAACAATGCCTTTCCCTTTTTCATTTTTATTTTTCAGGAATGACTAGTCTGGCCGGATGAAGTGGTTCATGGGAATTTGGGGTCGGACCCATCATTTAAAGGGGTCCCATGCAGGATACTGGAGTTTGGGATCAATGGCGACAGACACGAAAAGGGGATATGGGGTTTTCATCAGATGGTGGAGAATCAGTTAATGGAGTCAATTTGTGTGCATTGCAAATTTGTCCAGGGAGGAATGGACCCATTAGATACTGAGCACTACACAACATCTGCATCTGCTACACTGTACAGATAACAGATCTCTACGCCATCTTTCTGGGTCCCAAGTGTCTCAAAATTATGCAAGGGACACCCCTCAGGAAGATGATGATTAAATGGTTATTTTTTCTCTTTTCAGATTTTCATTTTCCCCAGCCCCTGTCTGCTCCTCAGTTTCTATGCAGCAGTAAGTACACCTTTGCCAATGGTACACGCTCCTCATTAGTACAAACCATCCTTAATAGATAGTTCCATTTGCATGAGTAAAACTATAATGTTTAACTTCTTAATTGTAATCAGTTGAAGTTAACAGGAATACATATGGAAATTTAATTAGTATTTGTTAGCAAGGTTTTCTTCCACGAGGCCAATGAGAAATTGCATCTCTGCTTCCTGCTGGTATTTGTGACTGATTGCAAGCAAAGTTGATGGATTTTTCTTCTTAAAAAGTTGACAGATGTAGAAAATTTTCCATCCTTTTAATACGGCAACCTTTTTCTTATTATTTTTATTTTTATTTTTTATATATAAATATATATATATAGGAGTATTGACTAAGTTAAGCATTTCACTTTCTTTTGACTTTGTACAAATCACAAGCCAATGAATGAAATAGATGTCAAGATCAGCAGAATGGAATCAGGAAGGGAGGAAGCTCATACACATAATAGGAGGTGTGCGGGACCCATCAGGGTAGCGATTTGGAATGCTCATACGTACTCCTCCACCGACAGACTCATCATTCATTCCTTTTTCATTTTCTTTTTTGTTTTTCTTAAATAAAATTCTAATTTTGTTCTTTTAATTTGCAATAACAAAAATATAATTGAAACCCATTATTTGTTTATAAAAAAGTGCACTTTGGTTCTGATTTTGGAAAATAAAACAGATATTAATTAACATTACATTTTTTTTTTATATGGAAGATATTAGACATATTGCTCCTGAGCAGACGTTGAGATTATTTTCCACTACGGAATGAAATATTAGAATTTATTTTACGTGTAATCTGGAATACGAAAGTACAGTATTTTCTGCCAGTTGCAAGCCATACGTGCTCATTAATTTCACTATTGAAATTAATCTATATTAATATAATCTAAAGATAATTGTTTTCTTGGGATAAGAAATGGAACTTATTACATATTTTTTTTAAAATTAATTTTACTATTTAAATTTTTTTTTAGGAAACAAAAAGTGAAACGAATATAATTTCTTTATGCGTCTTGAGAAAATTTTATTTTTATTTGTATTTTGAGTAATATAAACATATATATATATATCAAATTCACAGATTTTTAATATATATTCTGGAAAATACTAAAATTAAAAATTAGAACTTGTAAATCTTGTTTAATGCTAAAGAATAAGGCAAAATGAATATTTGAACATAGAAAACAGATAGAAAAAGTGGTTAGAGCTCAGAAGCGCGGTTTTATTATTTTTATTTTCTAAAAAATCTGTTAGGAATGGAAAACATATTTAAATATATATATATATATATATCTCTCTCTTTTAGAAATTATAAAGTAGGACATTTTATATTTGCAAAACATTTTCCATTCTTCTAGTTTTTTTACAATTTTATTAAAAAATGTGCTTAATTTTAGAAAATGGATTTTTAAAAAAAAGATACTTAGTGGAGTATCATTTTTGCTTTTATAAGGGCTAGTAAAGAGAGTTAAAACTCTTATATTTTGTTTTTTTGAAAAAAATTTTACACGAAAGTTGAAAAAGCAAAAAGAAAAATAGTTTTCTACATTTCGTAAGGAATGGGAAATTGGGTTAATTTTTCCAACAAATGATAATAATTGAAAAAGCTATTCCTTTAAATACATATTTTAGATTGATATATTATTCAAAACTAATGCATGAGGTTGCCCAAATTTGAAAACATGCATGGTATAGGATGGTTTTTACCCTAGGTACATTATTCTTTCCCTCTTTGCAAGATTTCAAGACAATTACAAATCAAATGAAATCCTAGTGCTCTCCTCTCTAATTTTATGGACATTATCTTCACATTTTTCTTATTAAAAAA